CATTTCAGATTTCAGGTTAGGGATGCTCCACTTGTAGTAGTATATCTATTAAGAGCTTGCATTCATTATCAAAAAAAATTTTATTAGTTGCTCAAGACAATACAATGATCTTGACATATCATACGTTTGATTCAAATGAGGTATGAATTCTTATTTTTCCACGTGTACAGATTGCAGGATCACATTGGTTATACAGCCACGTTTATACATACGGCAATCCTAGTGTCTGTTGTATTCTATCCTATCCCCCCTCCCCTCCCCTCCCCTCCTCTCACCTCTCTCTACCCAATCTACTGTGACACATTTCTCTCTTTTTCTCTTCCGCCTCACACCATCATATCAAATTTTTTTTCACAAAGAAAAAAATTAAGTTCAAACAGCTTCATTGGTTTATTTTATCAAATATTTATTTTATCAAATATTCAAGAAAGATATCAATCCTATGCAAATTCTCTCAAAAAACTGAGAGAAGTTATCAAATTACACTAACAATAAGCAATTAAAAAATGAACTAAAATCTGCACTTATAATACCAAACAACATAAAATCATTAGAAATAAATTTACTGAAAGATATGTGAAAGAGAATTAAATAAGACCTAATGAAATGGAAAGGTCATRTGAAATTCATGGATTGAAAGCTTCAGTCTTGTTAAGATGGAAATTCTCCCCAAATTGATGTAGAAATTCAGTGTAATGCTAATCAAAAATTTTTTTAAATAAATTGACAAGTCAATGTAAAAATGTATATGGAAAGGCAAGAGACTCAGATTACCCAAAATCATTTTGGGAAAAACAAAAGAACAAAATCGGTGATTTATACCAAGTGATTTCAAGCTTCACATGTAGCAACTGTAATCAAGAAATTGTGTGTTTTGGCTTAAGGAGAGAGCCTTATGATCTACTCCAAGATAAAATAAATAAAGCAAAATAGTCTAGAAGTAGGCTCACACCTATATTATCAATAGGTTGTTGCCAAAGGTGGTAAGATAATTCAAAGGGAAAATGATATGCTCTTCAAGGAGACTCCTGTAACAATGGATATCTGAATAGGAAAAAAAATTAGTATCAACCCTGACCTCAGGTGTATACAGAAAATATCTTGAAATGTGTCACATATAAACACAAGAGATAAAAATATTAAATTTCTAGAAGAAAATCTTTTTTTAATATTTATTTTTTAGGTGTAGATGGACACAACACAATGCCTTTATTTTTATGTGGTGCTGAGGATGGAACCCTGGTCCCGCCCATGCTAGGCGAGTGCTCTACCGCTGAGCCACAATCCCAGCCTCGAAGAAAATCTTTATGGCATTTGGGCAGATAAGTATTTCTTAAACAGGATATACAAAATATGAACTATAAGTGAAAAATGGTAAATTCAATCAAATTTAGTACTTTGAAAGTCACAAACTGAGAGAAAATACTTGATAAGCATGGATCTGATACAATTATAATGCATTCTAAATTTTAAAAATGTGCATTTGCTATTCCCTCAAATCTCACACACACACACACAAAAAAAGCTATGAGCACCTACCAAGGCAAGTGGTGGAAACTTCTAAGAAAAAAAAATGAATAATTTTCCTTGCATTGCACACAACACATACACACAAAAATAATCACTATATAGAGATCTTAGACCTAAATGAAAAATTTCTAGAAAGAATCTTTTGATTTGGAGCTTAACAAATTTTCTCACATTGGAGACACAAAGCATAACTCAGAAAAGACAAGATTCATAAATTTTATGACATCAAAACTAAACACATCTGCTCATCAAAAGACACCATTAGGTGAATAAAAATCAAGCTATACATAAATACATAAATCAGACCAGAATATATAAAGAATTCACCCAACTCAAATAATAAAAAAAGACTACCAAAAAAGAAGTGATGAAAGGTTGTAACAGAAAAATCACAAAAGATCTACAGAAAGTCAATAAGGACTTGGGAGATGCTCAACATCCAGAAAAAGAGAATTTAAATCATAATGTCACCTTATACTGTATTCCATACTCCTTAGAATGACTGAATTTAAAGACTGAAAATTTCAAGTATTGACAGAGATGTGGAATAACTGAGCCTATGCACCATTCATGGGAATGTATAATTGTGCAGCCATTTAGGAAAACAACATGCAGCCTTGAAAACTAAACATGAATCTACTATGTGACCCAGCAGTTATACTCCACAGGATCTGCCAAAGGGCAATGGAAACATGTTCACAAAATGACTTATATATATCAAGCTTTATTTTTAACAATGACAAGTGAAATCRCCCAAACGTCCATCAACAGGTAAATACATCGTCAAATATGTCTATACAATGGAATATTACTCAGCAAAAAAAATAAATAATGAAACAACATGAATGAACCTCACAATCTTTTTGCTTTGTGAAAGAAGCCAGGCGCCATGTGATTCCATTTATGTATATTTTTAGAAAAGATAATCTATAATGACAACAGAAAGCATGGCAGTAATTGAATGGGATGGAGATGAAAGGGAACAATCTTTGCTCAAGGGGGAGGGGCTGTGAAGGTGATAAAAGTGTTTGGGATCTTGATTACGTTCGTTCGGTGATTTCATCTGTCAAAACTCATCCACGTGTACACTTTAAATACATGTAATTTATTTTGCATAAATTGTTATTCAATAAAATTATAAACAAAATAAATAGAATGCAAAGAAAGAAATTAATAATGCCCCAGATACCAAAATCTCTAATGTCACCTTCTTGACTAGTTGGAAACAATTTCCTCTTAGATCCTCCACTAACACTCCTTAGACTCCCCCTGACTATGTACAGGTACCACTATTTCCCTGGTTTGGGGGATCTGAATAAGGTGCTCTGGTAGGGACGTTCCCCATTATGCTCAGAACTATTCTGTGCACAGTAGCTGCCCCCCACCACCTGTCCCCAACTCTCTCCTATCCAAGGGCTGCTGTCCTTGGTGCTACCTGCACCACCAACACGTTCCCCTGGAGAATGTCCGTAGCACACTGCCTCTCTCCTAACTTCCTCCCCTAGACCTTTTATCTCTCAAAAGTCAATGGGAGAATTTTTCTCCTTGTATCATAGGTTTCCTACAACAAGCGCCCACTGACATGTCTTTTCCCCCTCAAACCAAACAATTTATCCTTCCTGGAGCCCCCAGTAGAAAGGCATTAGGAGAAAACTCAAGCACACACAGATTCCACTTGGATTATTTGATCCCCCCTACAGGCCCAGCCCCTGTCCTGGATTGTGTTTTGCACCTAGTAATATGAAAAAAAGACATATAAGCCCTTCTCTCATAATAAAAAATACACATTTCTTCGACAAGAAAAAAATGGATTTTTTTCTTCAGTTGCTGATTGAATTCATTAGGCTAAGATTAAAAGCTTCAAATTAGATTGCATGTTATTCTTTCTATTGTCTACGTTATTGACACCCCARGCATAAATCTGAAATACACTGTGGACTTTTATGCTTGAACTATTTCAAGGTTTTCAAAGTGCTCTTGTGTTATTTACATAAAGTATTGAACAATGGGTGTTGCAGAATCCATGATGTTGTTAAATTGATCCATTCATATGCATCARGAAATTCACTAGGTTCTTTTTCTTAAGGCCTATTGTTTTGAAAGCTGTAGAAGTGTAATGCCAGGTGATCAAGGCTAACCATTTCAGTTACCCCTTTTCTGCCTCTGAAGAAATTTTAAGTGATTTTGTCCATTCTCCTGAAACTTAAGCACAACAGCATGTTGTTATTTTATTCCGAGTCCTTGATAGACAATGTTTCTCAGCCAACTGGGGGACAGATGAGAAGTTCTGGTCTGAGCTTACAAGTTAATGTTTGACAACTTCTGCTCCACTGTCAGCTCAGGTAACCAGGACTCCTGAGTGAATGGAAAGCAGTAATGGAGACTCCTCAGAAAACTTGGAATGGAACCACCATTTGACCCGTTATTTCACATCTTGGTTTATACCCAAAGTACTTAAAGTCAGCATACTGCACTGAAGTGGCCACATCAATGGTTGAAAGCAGCTCAACTCACAATAGCAAAGCTATGGATCCAACCAAGATGCCCTTCAACAGATGAATGGATAAAGAAGATGTGGTATCTATAAACAATGGAATATGTCAAAATACACCCTACTGTCCCGTATATCTAAAAAGAACAATTTTTTTTTTTTTAAAAAAGAATTCCTGAGGAACATGACGGCTGCGCTCTAGTTCTGTGAATCATTGGATTTCCTGAGATTCTGGGGTTGGCACTGATGCTTCAGTAGCTTCAAACTGTAAGTGCTGCAGTTAAGTGGCACAACTGAGCTACTACAGGCAGGCAGCATGATTGATCCAGTGACAGGAGATCAACGAATTCAGTACATTAAACACTGTCAACCAGAGTGACTGAAAACTTTGCCAATAACATTCAGATACTGACAGAAGGGGAAAAAAAAAAAAACATTTTGATGCAAAAGGCACACAGAGTGATCACTGAGGGAAGAGAAAAAAGACCCATGAACAATGCAAAACCAAGACAATGAGAGAACAGAAGCCGAATACTCTGTGGTGGGATGGACTACAGGCTTACGGTCCATTCTGAATATCACTTATACATGCTTAAGCCACCTGTTTGGTGAATAGCATGTAATTCACCTTCCGTATCATGTATGATCCTTCTGAATTCTATTGTCATCCTCCTGACGAGAAAACAAGGTAGAGCAGTAGTTAAGAGCACAGATTTCAGAGCTGATCACATCTGCATTTGGATCCTGCTTTTGTTTGCATATGACCTTGGATAGCCTCTCTGGGCCTATTTCACCTTTATGGACCTCTGACTCATCTGCAAAACAGAAATTATAGTGCTTAAGCCTTAGAATTATTTCTGTGTATTTACTGCAATTCTATAGGTAAAGCCTTTGTGACCCTGGCTAGACGGTCCTCCTCCTCTAGTCCACGGCACACAGCTGTTCCCTGGGCTCTCTGTGGGCCACTGTTGGTGAGGAGCTAGTGCTCTGAGGCTGCTGGAGCCCATGAGACATTCTCATAATTTTCTGTAATGTCCTCGTGGTCACTGCCTCTTCGGCTGGCCGGTCCTGCAGAGTCCTCCGGGTGTGCCTTCTTCAATTCTGAATAAATGACCACAGGTTCCTGGTGGAAAACCCACAAATTTTAAGTACCTAAATACAGATGAGGAAGAGCAGAGAAGAGAGAGGGCCAGGAAATGTATCTCACCTTACTGTTCCTAGGCGTCCGCGGTGAATTGGCTGTTGGATGGGAATAGCAAAGAAAAGTTTTAAGTTCTACATTTCAAATTTACAGCCTATTCACAGTGCATTCCCAGTCCACTCCACCTCTCCTGCTCATCTCTTGACTGTTTTCTCTGCTGACTTTTTCTAAGTCCTCACAGAAAAAAAAAAGCACTCTTTCCCCTCCACACACAAGATATATGCACACTAAAAACAAGGCACCTCTGTGGCCGTATTGACCATCTGGGAGGAAGTGGCCCACAGCACTCACTTCTCTTTGCACAGGGAATTTGGAGAAGGCTGGAGGAGAGACCSGCCGTCTAAACCACACAGCAGTTCCCCAGGAAGCCAAAGATTTGCAGTGGAGCATTAAGAAAATTCACTGTGTGTTCCTCTGTCCTTCCARAGAGTTGTTTGTGTCTCTCTTGTTTATTTATTCAGCCAACAAGCATTCATTGAAAAGTGGCTTCTTATTAAACATTAGGTACATTACAAGGAGGCAGAGATGACAGAAGCTCAGTCCATATGACCAAGGAGCCCATGAGTTCGAAAAGGAGAAACGGACATCGAAACCAACGCAACAGGTTTCCAGAAATGCCTATTGAAMTCTGCTGTTGCCACAAAGAGTGATYGTGGGAAGAGATGATGAGAGTCACGTCCTGAAAGGTCGGCAAGGACAGATAAGATGGACTGGGCCCAGGAGAAGCAGGCCATGTCTCCCATGTTAAACTCGCATTTGAGAGGACTCTTTGATCAAAGACCCTTGTCTGGATCTGAGAGCACTGCCACCTACCACCTCGCCTCTACTTGTCTGAAAGGTATCTCACCTGAAATTCCGTTTGTATTCGGGATGCTCCTGATCTGAGAATAAATCAGGTTTCCTTCTTCAGGATTCACTGTGAGAAAACAGAAGATGTTACATGGCCCCCATCTGAGAGTCTCCTGCTATGGTTTAGTTTGGGATTTGGTTTGTTCTCCAGAGGTTCATCTATCAGAAGAGTGGTCCCCTGYGTTGTGACGTKARGAGGTAGTGGAACCTCTAAGAGGTGGGGTCTAGGGAAAGGTCTTTATTGGCACCTCCCATCACTCTGGATTCCTATTTGCCACAYGATCTCCCTGCTTATGTGCACTCCTGAAATTGTGATGCCATCTGCCATGACATCCTCKCCAGAGCCAATGCCAGTGSCATGCTCTTGAACCTCCAGAAATATGAGCTAGATAAAACTTTTTTTCTTATAAAGTACCCAGTCTCGGGTGTTTCATCATAGTAAGGAAAATCAGACCAATACTCCTTTACAGCCACCAAATTTATAGCTGCCTTTTAATCCCTATAATGTTAGGTATGTCATATTTAAATTGGCTATGAAAGGGCCCTGAGTTGTTGCTCAGTCCTTCCTCTGTACTGKTACTTCCCTAGAACCCTGTGTCCCTTAAGAAGTCCTTACCATTGCTGTACACTGGCTGCAGCTCCAGTTGGACTAATTGCTCAGAGAAGGGGGGCTCCTGGGCATCTAGGCTGGAGGGCCCAAACCCGGAAGTCTCCTGATGTTCACTGGGACTGTAACTGTGACAAGAAGACACAATGGACGAAGAGTGTTTGTGAGTTACACAGAGTCTCAGAGAAATTGGTATCCAGGAAGACCTAGAGCCTGGCAGGATTTACATAAAAAAAAAAAATTATCACGGACACTTTTTCATGACTCTTTCAAGAAAATATTGGAAAAAGTGTGGTGCAAGATGGACCCCAGGGGAAGCTAGCTGAGGCCAAGTCCAAGGGCAGAAGCCACACAGTCTTCAGGTCCCTTTGAGAGGATAAAACTTATATTTGTCTAATTGTTAAGATTATTTTTAAAGATATTAATGTTTAAACRTTGATACGCAAGGTCTTCTGCATTCCCATGTAACTTGACCTTTGTCTTTTTTTAAAATTTTCTACCTCGTGTGGTAAGACTCCACTTTCCCTGTAAGATATTATAAAGTTTCCTCAAAAAAATCACCTCCTTGTGCACTGTTAATTTAATGCTGGCATTTAGTATCACTTCCTAAATGAGTGAAGGAATGAGAGAAACAGGGAGTGAATGAACGGTGGCCCTATGCAGGGTGACGTCATTAAGACGTCAGTGGTCAGTTCTGTACTGCAGCTCGGAGGTCGATAAATAAACCCAGACAACAGCATGCATTCCGTATGTCAGTTGACATAATATTGTCCCCAAAGAGGAGTGGGACTGGTTTTCTGATCACTTTTTTTTTTTTAATTTTGTAAGAACGTTACAAGGTTGGTAGGAAGTCCATTCAAAACTTTAAAAATGAACATCATCCTAGTTGTAAACAAATTATGCAAATGAATCCAAGCAGCACAAGAATCCGAGACCTTACCTAGGTGTCCCCGTGGCCGGAAGTCTTCCTATAAAAGGAACAAAGGAACACTGAGGGTAAGAGAGCTGTGTGGACAGTGGGCTGCGTCAGAACACTCCTTCCTCGAAGTCAGATTCACTGTAAGATCTCAGACATGGAGAAGCTTGGGGAATAACCTTCCATGCCCCCATGTCATGTTACACCTAGGGAAGGCGGGGTCTTRGAGGACATCTGCCCAGAATCACACTCGTTATGAATCATTTTTCAATCCGTAACAGCCATGCGAAAAGAAATTCTAAATAGCTGTGGCCAGGAAGCAGAAGTGAGACGAGGCGATATTTAACTCGGGGCCCAGGTCTTCCTCCACACCCACTTGTTCACTGTGACTGCAGTTTAACACTGACACCAAGCTGTGACTCTCCCGGTAGGTGGTAGATATGCTGTCTGCTTTTCTCTGTGACCCCTGCAGATCCTCTGCAGAAACGCTGAACTGCACATCACTTGGGCACTCGGCAGTTTCTCCATCCCTTTTCTTTCCATCTCTTTCACTGGCTAATTTCAACTTATCTGGACTAATTACAATATTACCCAGTCCTATGTGCCTGGATCTAGGTGGAGTTGATGCAACGCTCTGATGCAAAGGAGGAAAGAGAAGCTGGAAGTGTRCGATCATGACCTAGGCCTGTGTCTCTGTCCTCACGACAATGAGAACCCACGTCCACCCACAGCCAGTGTCTTCCCTGGGCAGTTTGTCTGTAAGGATGGATCTGGAAGTCAGTCTATCTCCTCACTGTAAAAAGAAAACTGAGATGTAAAGAGGTGGCTATTGACCATGTCTTCCCTGAGGACATGTGGGCCAGGAACTCTACTAAGCAGTTTGCCTACATTGTCAAAGGTAGCTACTGTTATTATGACCACTACACTGGGGTTTGGAGAGTATAAGTGACTTTCCTAATATCAAGAAGCTAGCAAGTAAGTTATGGGCTGGGGTTGTGGCTCAGTGCCAAAGTGCTTGCCTAGCACGTTACTAGGCACTGGGTTCAATCCTCAGCACCACATAAAAATAAAAAAATAAAATAAACGCCTGCTGTCCATCTATAACTACAAAAAAAAAAGTTAGCAATTGACATTACTGAAATTTTAACCCAAGTAGTTTGAATATAGAATTGACACATTTTTGCCTCTTTTGATAATTTGTAGGAATTATTCAGGCAAGAAGTAGAATACTTTACTTCTAGAAATATGCGGAAAGTTTGAGCTCCTTCCTGAGATAAATGGTCAATAACGGGACAGGGAATTTTGCTATGGGGTGGAGGATTCAGGAGTCAAGATTTTTGAGAAGAGAAAGACAGAGACCCTCTTCCTGGTGAACTCTCACCACTTCTTGGTGAGTCTGCTATTCAATACACTTCTCCAGGAAGCGAATGAAGGGCTGAGCACTTGCTTGGCATGCATGAAGTCCTGGGTTCGATTCTCAGCACCACAAGCAAAACAAAACAACAGCACTTCTTCTAGACCTGGTGGACAGAATACCCCCTGGCCTTCTGTTCACATGGATCACATTAAATAGTCAGTACTCTCCTCCTTCCTGGTGTGGTGGTGACCGAGTAGTCTGCTTTTTGAACATTATCCACTTCAACAGTGAGATTCTAATGCCCTCTTCTAGGTAGTGGGGAGGGAGGTTAGACAGAGATTAGATGGGGGGATTCATTAGAATATTGTGTAGCACTGTGGGGTAACTATGGTCTACAACAATTTATTATGCTTCTAGAAATAACTACAGAAGTACTTGAAAATTCCCAAGACATATAAACTGTAATATTTGAGGAGATGTATTAATTTGATCAATACATACCATGTACATGTATTGACTTATAATATTGTATCCATAAATAAGTATAAGTATTATATGACAATTAAAATAAAATAAAATCTAACTTACAGATGGTCTAAACACCTTTCATAAAAGGTGGACACTCTCATATTGGATAAAAGGAAAAAGAAGGAATTAATCACATTTTAATTATTAAAAAAAGATACACTAAAGTATAGGACACAGATAAATCAAAAGTAAAAGGACAGGGAAAGAAATACCATGTTAGCAGTGATTATATTTGTTAACATGCTAATATTTATAATTGTATTAATCAGAGTTCATTATTACATTAGYATCAAACAAGAACTCTTTCAAAGTAAGTGATACTATCAGGGAGGTTTGKTAAAGAGGGTCATTTTGTAAGGATAAATTTTTTCAATTCATCAAAAACACATAACGCTTCTAAATATTCACACAGCTCATAAAGAGCATCAAATCCTCAAAGCAGAACTAGATACGACTGCAGGAAGAAATGAATAAATTCACACTTGCAGTTGAAGATTTCAATTCCCTATCTCAACTATTGATAGTATACAGAAAATCAGTAAGAACATAAATGAATTTAGTAATGACAGCACACTTACTGTAAGAAATGTTAGAAGAATCCCTTTTGGCAGATCAAAAATGATACGAGATGGAAATGTGAACACACAAAGAAGAATGGAGGATATTGAAAGGGTTAGCTAGGTGGCTACAATTTTGACAGCAAATCCTATAAAGGCAAGAGAAGAGAAAGATATCAACCAACTCCCTCTTACACACAGATACAAGCATTCTTAATAAAATTYTAGCAAATCAAATCCAACCATCATGATAAAGACCCCAGAAATATAATATGRCTTGAACACTCAAAGTTAACCTTATTAATAGACTGAAAACAGAAAATCACCTGATTATTTCAATCAATGCAGAAAAAGCACTTGACAAATATCTATGCCTGTAAACATTCTAAACAGATTAGGAATTAGTAGGGACTTGCTTAGCCAGATAAAGTGAGTCTATGAAAATCCGACAGTTGGCAAAATACTTAATTGTGAGAAACTGAATACTTTTTTCCTAAGGTCAGGAACAAGACAGAGATGTCTGCTCTGACCAGTTCTATTCAACATTACATAAAAGGTTCTAGACAGTGCAATCAAGAAAGAAAAAGAAAAGGTTAAGACTGGAAAAAAGTGATACTGTCTTTATTAGCAGATAGCATGCCATCTAGATAGACAATTATATGAAACCTACAAAACAGATATTAGAACTAAGTAAGGAGTTTAGTGAGGTTGCAGAGTATACAATTAACATGCAAAAGGCAATTGTGTATCTATGTACAACCAACAATCAGCAATTGAATTTTTAATCTCCTCTCAGTTGCTCTCTATTAGTTTTATCCAAATTTCAATACAGTTGACTGCTATTCAAATGTATCTTGGCTTATGATTTGCACTTTTGACGATCACCTGCTTTTTGTTACAAATGGTGGAGGGGTTTGGGGGCCCTTTTGTTTTCAGTAGGCTTTGGAATGCAGGTAGAACAGTAAAGCGCTTAATTTTCCAATTTTTAATTGAAAGCAAAGCTCTGATACATAATTCATCTCAAATTAAACACGAGAGGTAAAAAAAATCCCATTGAAAACTTTACTCTACCTTTTTTGTTACTATTGCCTGTAAAACTGAGGGACTAGTACTTAGAAGGAATAATTGGCTTTTATAGGATGCACTACCCAACTCCAAATCATTATAGCAATGGCCAAATTCACAGCCTTAAGGGCTAAGACAGAGACACCTACCTGGTTTCTTTTGGCTCTTGATGCGATACAGCCAAGTAGCAGCAAAGACAAGGATGAGGAGCAATCCCCCAGTGAGTCCTGTGGTCATAAGAACAATTCTTCTCCTGGAATTCCCTGAGAGCCAAGATATATACTTGAGTTTCAAGGGCAAAAGTTTTGGATCTAGACAAAAAAACATGCAAGTGGAGCTAAGATCTATTAGGGCAGGTAATTTTCCAGTTTCTGATTTCTCCATTCAAATTATCTTTAGCATAATTTGTGATTTTCAAAACAATGACATGTTAAAGGTGGTCACTCGCATCTAAGATTAAAAGTTATTCCCTTTCCCCTTCCCACATGAAATCAGCATCCATCTCAAGCTGCTCCACACCTTGGTGGGCGTGTTCAGAAACTTGGCCATTGATAGAATTTGTACCGTCCACTGGAGGACTATTTTACTGCCTACTACTATGGCCTCTAGTTCAGGTGCCACTAACTCACCTGTGATGCTGAGTGCCACCACCTCACTGCGCTGAGCCCCCAGGCCATTGTTAGCGTCACAGGAGTAGTTTCCAGAATGTTCTGCAGTCAGGGAGAGGTTGAAGGATGCTCCTCCTCCAGAGGGAGCCAAGATGTTCCCCAGGATAACGTTCTCATGATAAAACTGGTACAGGATCGGGGGAGAGCCCCTCAGGGCCTCGCAGTGAAGCCCCACCATGTCCCCCACCTCAGCCTGGACCCTGGGAATCCTGAATGTGAGGACAGGGTGGGACACTGGAACTGAGAGAGGAAAATAGTTCATTGGCAGTTTTGTATAAGCATGGATACAAGAAACTGTAATAAAAGAGTATTCTGCATAGTTCATAGTAGGAACACAAACCTGGATTCAGAAAGATATAGGTTTGAATCCTGATTTTGCCCTTTGTTAACTCTGTAATCTTGATTTTTACTTTACTTATTTATTTATTTAGGTACTGGGGATCTAGTCCAGGGGCATTTTACCACTGAGCTACATTCCCAGCCCCTTTTATTTTCTATTTTGAGACAGGATCTTGAGAAGTTGCTTAGGGCCTTGCTAAGTTGCAAAGGCTGGCCTCCAACTTGTAATCCTCCTGCCTCAGCCTCTGGAGTGTCAGGTATTATTATAGGCAAGCCTGGCTGTAATCTTGATTTTTAAAAACTTTAACTTCTCTAAGTCTGTTTTTTTTTATTTCTAAAAAGGAGCTAATAATAAATTATGTCTCAAACTATTATAAGAATCGTGTATGTAAAGTGATCAATGAATGCCAAACTATCATTATTACAGATAAAACTAAAATCAAGGGTCATTTCTAGGATATTCCTATTGCTGAATCTTAGCTCTAAGATCAAGACATGGTTCCATATCTATCTAATTTAGGACCTCATTATTCTCCACCCAATTACCTGACTTCATTTTCCAAGTTACTGTCCAGCACTGTGTAACATCCATCCCTCTATCATCCATCCATTTGTCTATCATTATCGTATATCAGATGACCCCAATAGAATTTAAGTTCCATAAGAATAGGGATTTATCTTTCCTGTGTTGTATTTCCAGTTGCTGAAACTTTGCATGACATTCAATAGTTGCCCAATAATTGGCCACGGAACTAATTGATCCAGACTGGCCCCAAAACATCCAGATGCAGCACTAGCAACAATAATTCCAYGTTCATTGATGACTCTGGAGATAGGACAGCAAATGAGAATAGAAAAAACCATTCATGTGGAATAAGAACGAGAAGATTGCTGGTTCTGCTAAGTGGTGAAGAAACTTAAATGAGATAGTTCTTTTTGTGTGCAGTGCTTTAGATTAATCCGTGTGTTTCACTGGCAAGAGACACTTGGGAAGGATCTTAAGCTCTGCTTTGTGTTACAGACTGACTCAAGGGGAGGGAGTATGGATGTGGGACCATTCATTGAAYGGCAATGATTAGACCTGAAATATGAGCCAACACTGGCTGCAAGAAAGATGGCTTCTGCTGGTAGAGTGCTAGCCTCACATRCACAAGGCCCTGGGTTCAAWTCCYAGCACCACCACCTTTAAAAAAATAAAATAAAATAAAAGGTGCATGCAGGCAGGAAGAAAATCATGATCAKGGCAGGGAATGATGTTTCCTTGCCAGTAATCGCTGCAGCTCGCGTATCTGGTATTTTGGAGTCTTTGAACTTCCTCTGGAGTGGGGAATWTGGGAACTGTAGCCTCTTACAGAGGAAAACAAAGGAATGTGTAATCACAGGAAAGAATCCATGCCGGCAAGAAGTCCAGCAGAGTTCTGTTGTGTCTGGACTACTGTGTGTACAACCTGCTTACCTAGGACGTGGAGACTCACTCCGTGACTGCGCTGGGCCCCCAGGCCATTGTCGGCCTCGCAGGAGTAGTTTCCAGAATGTTCTGCAGTCAGRGAGAGGTTGAAGGATGCTCCTCCCCCAGAAGGTGCCGAGCTGTTCCCCAGGGTGACRTCTTCATGATAAAACTGGTACAGGATCGGGGGAGAGCCCCTCAGGGCCTCGCAGTGAAGCTCCACCACGTCCCCCACCACAGCCTGGGCYCTGGGAGCCCTGAGGGTGAGCACAGGGCGGGACACAAGACCTGAGGGAGACAGAAGGGCTGTCAGATGAGCTTAGAAGTAGATATATCCCTTGATCACTTCTGTTCCCCACTGCCTGCACTTTCCTAATCTAAYGATCAGAAGCATTGTCCTAAAACCCAGAAAAGTAGCCCAGGAGAATTTTGTCCCCATCATCCCAAAGTCYTCTCCCCACGGGAGCAAAGCATCTCCCGCTCATTTTGCCACGTTTGTAGCGGCAGGGGTCGTTTTTTTGGATCTTYGCCTCTGTTCATTGGCCTGCTTCCAAAACTTCAGGGCTGATGGAGAACTTCAACTCTGGCTTGCAAAACAAGGGTGGTAGGGAGGAATCAGGAGCTCACTTCTCACGGTGACGGTAATCCGCTTGCTGAGGATGGGGACGTGGTTGTTGTCAGCTGCACAGTAGTACCTCCCAGTATCACGCTTCTGCACGGCSGGCACTCGCAGCTCTGCCAACAGGGAACGCTGGGTTTTTCTGCCCAGACTTATTCCCTCTTTGTGCCAGGAGAATGTGATATTCCCTGTGCCCTCGGCTACTGAACAGATAAGGACCAGATTTTCTCCTTCAATCAGCTGCCCCCCTGGGGGCTGGATCTCTAGATTCACATCAGATACAGGGATTCCTGGGRAGACACAAGGTAACACGGGAGGGTTTTGATGGCAAGCACTTCAGAGTCAAGGAAAAGTCTGGAGCCGCCAGGAATAGGCCARTAGTCGTAGACGCAATAGGCCAGGGTCCAAAGTCGGAAAGAAGAAATTAATTTTATAAAGAGATCAGTAGCTTTTCCCACTCCCACAACAGCTCCTATCCTTGGGAAATGCAGGCACCAGGCCCATGATCTTAAACCCGGTGTTGTTTGCAATCACATTTTATGAACACGTATCTGGAAAGAATCTCGGATATGCTACAGAATAAGAGTACTGGGGATGTTGCCTCTATCCTGAAGTGACTTTTCTCAGAATCCAAAACTCTTTCCCCATCCTTTAAGGGTTCTCCAGTCTCTCTTCCATGCCCCCACATTCTTCTCTGACTATTCCAGTCCATAGTCATCTTCCCCTTTTCTGATGATTTTGGTGTGAGGTTAAGTCAACTATGAAAACACTATCGGGACCTTCTCAGACAGCATTTGGTCAATGGTGCTTCTAGTTGTCCGGTTTGGGCCCCCAATAACTGATGGATAATTAGTATTGCCTGGCTTAGATGGAAAAGAGGGTCCTAGGGAAGTTGGTCCAATACTGAGTCCAAAGAGAGAAAGATATAATCGCTGGAGCCTCTCTCGACATCAACCACCCTAGGGGCAGGGGGTGTCCTGAACTGTTCTCCTCTCCCCAGCTCTGGAAGAGCAAGCAGCCCCTGTAACACTTACTCTGCACAAGGATACGGGATACCCGGCTCATTTTCATGATTCTGGGAGTTGCTGCCTCTGCCTTACACCGGTAGAGCCCCGAATCTTCGCTCCCCATTGTGGGCATCTGGAGCTCTGGGGAGCTGCTGCAGCCTGWCCCCAGGGTATGGCCATCTCTGAAGAAGCAGAACTGGAGCTGGACATRKGACCTCTGAAAAGCAAGCTGCGTCTCACAGGTCAGAGTCCATGGGCCTCCCTCAATGGGCTGGGAGGGACTGGCTTTCAGCACAGGACGTGGAAAGAGCTCTAGAGAGAAGGAACACAATCCTTAGGGAACGGGGCACAGATTTACCTGTGCTGTCAGCACCCCGAAGTGGGGACCGTCTTCCTCCCATGGCCCATGGAGATTTTTTTTCATGAAATCCCCACTGATAAACACCCTCCCTTGATCCTCACARCTTCACTGCCAAAACCTAAACCCACAGGCGTTCAACCATTACCTTGAACTTGGATACTTAGGGATTTTGAAGTTTCTTTCCAAAAAGAATCCCAAGAAAATTCCTTAGAAACAGCACAATGATATTTGCTCTCGTCTTGGCGGACTGAATGTAATCTGATGAAGTCTGAGTTATCACCATCAGGAAGTTGTTTTCCATCTTTGTAGTAAATCTTTTTATGTATTATCTCCTCTTCCCACCCTAGGCATCTCAGATCTATATCATCTCCTTCAAAGACCGGGTATGGCACCTGGAGGATCAGCCAGTCTGCAAAGAGCCAAGGACATACTYAATTCTTCCCTGTCATTTCTTTCTTTGCTCTCAGTTCTCCCCACGAGAAAAGAGCTRCAGCCCTGTACACGCCTGCAAATGTCCTCCACCAATTTTTCCACATGCTCCATACTAGATTCTTCCTTGTTCTGGAAGAGGGRACTAATTTCTGGAAAATGTCCTTGAGAAATCCCATCTTTAAAAGAGGAATTCTATCCCATACCATATTCAGACCTGGCCTCCTTTTTGCCTGGTGGCCCCTGGGGAGGAAGTGGACAGCACCACACTTTGCTGCTGCCGTGCTTCTTGCTCTTCCCACTGGGGCCAGCCCATCACACATGCCCACGCCTGTCACAGTGCCATCYGGGTTCCCCGTGTTAACCCAGCTCACAGATATTCTGCCCAGTGGTTTGATTTTAGAAATTCCTCCTTTTTCTCACCAGATGAAAATTCCACATGTACASGGTCACTGWAGGAGGATCCTTGGGTCTTRCATTGGTAAGAACCAGATGTTTYGATTAGGATCCTTCCAGATGTTTYGTCAATCAATTYATYRTYCCRATACCAAGATGYGCCTTCCTGGGATTGCAAWTGGTGATTSAYRCATKTGAGAATCATCKYTTSTCCCTYGAAGACTGTGGACCATGGAGGATCKAGCAGAAGTACAGCTTTGGGTGGTACTTCTAAATGGGAAATAGACAAAGGCAGGTGAGTGAGGGGTGGGCGGAGGACATGGGAGGGGCTAGCTTTGCAGCTGGGGATTTTCCTGGGACTGAGGTTAGAAATGGAACAGAGACAGCTTTGAAAAATGCCTGGGAGAGAATCTGTTCTTCCKCATCCTTTGCCTACCCTGGACATGGGCAAGGGGATATCGTAGGAGATCGGGGTCTTGGCAGGGGCTCAGAACAGTTTAGAAGACATGATTAGTGCCAGGTGTGGTGGCACATTTTTGTAATCCCAGCAATTTGGGAAGCTGAGGCAGGAGGATTGMCAGTTGAAAGCCAGACTGGACAACATAGGGAAACCCTGTCTCAAAATAAAAAGGGCTGGGGATGTAACTCAGTGGTAAAGCACCCCTGGATTCAATTCCCAGTACAATAAAAAAAAAAAAAAGATTTCTCATTGTACAAAATCTGCTAAGTCCAGAAGGTAGGCTCTGAGATATTTTTGTTCTATTCATTCTTTTCAAGATGAAGGTGAACCTGGGCTGTTCAAAAGCAGTTTCTAGACTCAAAAAAAAAAAAAAACAAAACAAAACAAAAAAAAAAACAAAAAAAAATCACTTTGGGCTTGACTTGAAATATGTAATAAACAAGATTCTTTCTTCACTTTTGTTATTTTTAAACTTTGCTTAGTTGGAGAATCTACAGGGAAGGCAACTCTTCTCTACTCTCCATCTAAGTTGGACACAATCAATAACAAAGGCATATAAAGAATTTGAAGTTAGAAGGTCGGGCTGCTTGGGAAATCAGGCTTGTGTTTAGGATTGCRGCTCACTGATGGACCGGAAGCTGAGGCATGAGCTCCTTTTGGAAATATAGAAGGGTTTTACTGTGGCATTAGCCTCTGTGAATAGAAGCGATTCCTGTTTCTTTTGGTAGCAGCACTACCTTGGACACACAGAGGAAATGACTTTGGGGGTGGAGGAGATGAGGCCCGAGAGTCTCTGAASAGTTGCTTGCTGCGTCTACCCTTCCTTCTGCTCATGCTTGCTCCCTCTCTGCAYGGGGTGTCCTGGTAATGTGGGATGAACTAGAAACTGAGAAGCTGGGGGCTATTTGCCCAACATGGTAGCAGGTGTGACCCCAGCACAGCAACTGATGTTGGCATCTCCCCCGATGTCCTCATTTGCAAGTGTTGGGCAAATAGCCCCAACATGCTGGCTGAGGGGGATGAGTGATCAGAACTTGGGAGGAACAGAAAGGAGGGGAAACTTACGTGATTGTTCTCCYCCGGGAGCTGTGAGGGAATCCAGAAGCAAAGGTTATTAGCATAGAACGATGGTTCTCAAATCTTTTCAATCAGATGCTTTAGGAGAACTTTTCTGACAACCTAACTGCACAACGGCATCTTTCCTCCCAATTCTTGTCCCCCATTGTGTACTACCCAAAGTTCTTAAACAACCATGAAAACATTTAGTCTACGATTGACTTTACAAACGCAGTGCCTGTCCACAGGCCTGGCTCGTCTCTGCACCCGCCTGCGTGACAACTTCTTACYCCATTCCCTTCCTCTCTTCTCCCACGGGAACTCACAGTGCCCACGCAGGAACCACTTGGAGAAATGGCTTCTCCTCCCCTCACTTTCTTGGGCCTCCTCGTATTCCTTCTATTTTTTAAAACTCTGGCTAAGTTTTGGCTTAAAACCGGGGAGAAGGAGGTCTTGTTTCTCAGTAGACCTTGCCTGACTCACCTAGGTTTGGGAAGCTACTGCTTGTCTGAAAAGTTATTTCGTTGGGAGCTGTACAAGGAAGGAATTTAGAGCTGTGGATTGGCAGAAATTTAAGCCCAAATCTCCTATAGGATTAAAAAAAAAAAAAAAAGCCAACAATGATACAAAACCAAGGGCCAATCCTTGGCTTCCTCGGATGGCTGTATTTGGAGTTTTATGGTTGTCTTGGGAACACGGGCCTTCTCTGTCTTTTCTTGCTATCTGACTATGAACCCCAATGTAAAAGAAGAGACAGAGGCTCCCTTGTCTGACTGTAGGAACTGAAGCCACTGCCCTATCCCAGTCCCTCTACTCACCCAGGATCAGCAGCAACAGCCACAGAAACATGGGAACCAGGCCTGGCTGCAGGCAGGGCATGTCTGTCTCACCAAAAGGCAGGCTTATTTCCCATCTACAAGGGAAAATGGGAGGTCATATTCAGATAAGAGAGGTAGAAATTAGAAAAGGGGAAGTAGAAGAACTTGGTGTCACGTCTCACCCCTGGGTTTTCAAACACCAACATGACAGCCCTCCTAAGTGATGTCTGTTTCTCAGCCCTGGTAGCTGTGTGCTTTCATATATTGAGGGCCACCTTCCAACTGTTCAGACCTCTCAGAAAAACAAAAACAAAAACAAAAAWATATATATATATTTCCAAAGCTGTGCCTGGGCTCTCTGAATATGCCAAGCCATACATTTGTTTATATTCAAATAACTTGYCATTTCTCAAATGGAAACAACTTCCTCTCACCCCCCAGCATTTCTTCAAATTCATACATCCTCTAGGTCCACGTGAGGTGCCTAACATAGATCAAGCACGGACGTGCTTGACCGGCTCAGTGTTCTGATGCGTTTGGTGGTGAGAACCGGTCACGATGGGCAAAGTGCCACTTACGAAGCTGAGGGGAGAACTAAAGAATGTCCACGGGCTTCTGCCCCTTTCAATGCTTTATTCACTCAGATCACTCAACACAATTTCACTCTTTAGGTTCTTAATCAAGAAAATGACGATCCTTAATTCTGGGCACTGCCAGAGACATGACCAGTTCAAAGCAAACAATTGTTAAGTTAATTCTAAGCACTGCAAACACTCTTGATCATGACAGGCTCATGACAGACATTCCCTCGGCAGCTGAGCTCCAGGGCCAGAACTAGAGGCTCTTAGACCTTAAGTCCAGCCGATGCACACTCACTCAGACCCCAGGTGATCAACCGATGGAGGCTTCTCCTGGGGTGGAGCTGGCGGCTGGCTGAGGAGAGGGTCTTAAGGAGAAGTTGCCTTGCTCACCAGGGTCAAGATGGGGCTGTAGAGTTTGAGAGCCGTGAGGATGGTGCAGAGGATCAGGCAGACGATGAGAAGAGCTGAGATGTCAGTCCAGGTCCTCATCAGGCTCTCCGGTCAGGCATGTGGGCATCAGTGCTGGCTGGCTGAATGTCTATTCATTTGCCGCATCATTTATGCTAAATTTGGGGGCTTCTGACCACCCTTTCAATCCCTATCAGCTGGTCTGGTGGTTTGTGCCCCGATCTCTCGCCTTTTGCTTTTATCAGGACGAAGGCAAATGACAGAGACTTCACTCTGAGCTTTATCAGGGTTGTGGAAAGTGACTTATTTTATCAGGCTGTGCCTGATGACCATATGGGAGGGCTCTGTAGGCATGCCTGCTGGGGACTGCAATTTTTTTTTTTAATATTTATTTTTTAGTTGTAGTTGGACACAATACCTTTATTTTGTATGTGGTGCTGAGGATCGAACCCAGGGCCTCAAACGTGCTAGGTGAACACTCTATGGCTGAGCCACTACCCCAGCCCTGGGACTGGGGTTTTATTTCAAAATGGAGTTACTTAGGCTAAGGCTCTTCTTAGGTTAAGGGCATCCCTAAAGAGTCATGCAAAGTCAAGGTATCAGAGCAGTTGCAAAAGACTTGTTCACTTTCACATAAGTTGGCATGGAGCTTCTGAATGGGAAAATAGTAGAATTACACAGGCTAGCAAAAGGGGGCTACCTCTGAGTCGTGCCCAGAACTGTGCAAATCAAGATGTAAATGAGCAAGCGTACAAACAGGAACCCCTGTTTGTAAAGGCAAGGCCCTTCTGAGAAAGGCTATCCTTCCCTTTGTACTCAAAGAGGTCCCGCTTTTTATTTGTAATGTTTTTTAAATCACAACTGGTGAATATTTTCTCCATGTTCTTGCTTGCATTTGTGTCTCCCCCCATCCAACTTTTTTTTTTTTTTTTTTTTTTGGTGCCAGGGATAGAACTCAGTGGCACTTAACCACTGGACCACATCCCCAGCCCTTTTTCTTTGCATTTTATTTAGAGACAGGATCTCGCTGAGTTGCTTAGGGCCTTGCTAAATTGCCGAGGCTGGCTTTAAACTGTGACCCTTCTGCCTCAGCCTTCGGTGGCACTGGGATTACAGGGGTGAGCCACTATGCCCGGCCCCTACTAACATTTAAGGGCCCGATGTTTGTCTTATCCACTACAGCAACCCTTGTGCCTCTCCTAGTTCACAGTTCTTAGGAAAGTTGGGATCTTTTGGTATTTTTTAGGGACTGCTGAAATGGGTCATCAGGAACTCAAGACCAGCTTTTTTTTTTTTTTTCTTTTTTGGTTGCAGATGGACATACCTTTATTTCATTTATTTATTTTCCTGTGGTGCTGGGGATCGAACCCAGTGCTTCATGCATGCTAGGCAAGAGCTTTACCACTGAGCCACAGCCCCAGTGTTTTCTTTTACCAGCTGCCCTCCTCCTCCATGAAATATTAATACCCACAGATAYGTGTGCATCTTTTTATGTGCTATATGTATAGGTGAGTTTCATACATTAAAAAAAAAAAAGTAAGGTTTTTGTTTCCTTCACCTTCCCAAGAACCAATATCTGCCCCCTGGAGGATGACCTCACCCCTGTTGGAATGTACGGTGTAGACAGGGAGATGACTTTCTCAGCAAGGTCACTGCATGGACAAAGTGAGGACCGCTCAAGGAGACCTCTGCCTTATAAGTGGAAGATGATCTCAGCGCAGATGAGGCCCACCCGGAGCATGTATTGTAAAGAGCTGTGAAGAGGTTCTCTCCCTGAACCAAGTAGCACTTCCCCACCCCTCTCCTGTAGCAGGGTCCCTTTCATGTAACAAGGGYCCCCACCCCCTCTCCTGTAACAGCRTCCCTTTCATGTAACAAGGGCCCCCTTCACGCTGGGTATTAACCTGCTGCTCCACAACTGGCAGCTCATTGTAGAACAGACATTTCCCCTCCCCGCCCCCTCTCTTCCCCTCCCTGACTGAGGGGAAAACAAGATGAACATTCTTTCTATCCTAAGAGGGGCCATCTGTCCTTCTGTGTACTGCCCACCTGGACAGATTCTCTGGACATAGGAAATGAGAAACAGCTCTTAAGGACAAACATTAATTACAACTACTGCTAATATCTGGAAACAGCTCTGCAGTCCCCTTTTCAAAGCCCTCTGCTCCCCCTATAGCAGTCAGGGTGACAGCTGTGTGACTTCGGTTTGTCTATTGTCTTTCTCCTTTGCCAGCAAAGCAATTAGACTTCTTTGTCCTTTTTTTTTTTTTTTAAGCCTTGTCCTTGTTAATCAGATTAGCATGGGGACAAGGACCAAGCTTTCAGCGTGACCCCCATAGAACTTACCATTATGTGATGTGTAATGTCTATTTCTGTCATTAGCCTGCTGGATCACTGGGGTTGGAAGTGAGTCTGGTTTGGGTCTCAGTGCCTCATTAGAACACTCGTAGAAATTTGTCCCAATTTGTCCATCAGTACGGCTGAATGACTGAATAGCTGACCAACAAGAAACAGCAGGATGGCCATTGAAAAAGATCAATATGTTTAAGTGATTTCCTTACTCCCTCCTGATTGAAGATATCTCCAATATTCTGGATGCGTATTGATTGCGTTTATTTATTGAAATGATCGAGCTATTTCCTAATATTGTACCCAGTTCATTTGTAGCACAGGATCGTTGTGAACTGCTAATTSTGCAGTGTGGGTGTCACCTCTGACCTCCTGAATTTGGGCTGGGTTTTCCTCTCCCGTTCGTCAATCGCATTGATTTCCTTCACTACRGAGCTCATCCTGGTGGAGGGCCTGTAGTGTCCTTGAGTAGTGTAAATACTTTGGTACTTCAGTTTCGATTGGGATATTCAGTCGAAGTCCAGGTCTTTAGTGTCTCCAACCAAGAACTGAGCAAGACACACAGAAGTAACAGATAAAGTACAGATTTATTGAAYTTGAAGGTGGAAGTAGCACTCAGGAAGGTAGAGAGAGTGGGCTGTTGAAAGAGAGGGACTCAAGGCCCSAGTGTCTGGAAATTAGGATCTAGTATCCTGAACTGTGGGGTGCTCTCTTCCCTATACTGACCCGATCGAAGACCTTACCCCRTTTTCTCCCATTGGTAGTCTTATGATACCTGATTAGAATATTTTCCAATCCCTGGCCCCCATTGGTTACTTTAGAAAACCGAATTAGAACACTGCCCACTTTATCCTGCCCCCTTGGTCATCTGAACCTGTGGAGAGAGTCGTCATGGTGATAAGTCGGTTGTCATAGTGATGAAGTTTCTTGTAAACAGGTTCAGGACTCATCTCCTTGTCTCATCCTCCAGTGACTTCTAGTCCCCTGTCTCCACCATCTCCGAGTCCCTGAACTCCTTCTACCCACACTCTGAGGGAAAGAAAGAGCTCGGGCTCGCTTGGGATTTCTCTACAGCCTACGCAGCCATCAAGCAAATGAAGGCTCCGTGAATTATATTGTTCTATATCTTGTGTGCGCACAGGAATATGTAACAACAAATCCCACCGTTAYGTACAACCRTAATGCACCGATACAAAAAGGGAAAAGCAAAAATAAAGACAAATCAATTCATTTAGTTAATAAAACAAAAGGAAGGCAGAGTTGAATGTGGATAACTTTGAGATGTAGTCTGTCCGACTAATTCTACACCATAAACGAATGCAAATGAATCCCATGGTTCAAGGTGAGGATGTTGATCATTTCTATTAATAGTTATTTCTTGTGGTTGGAAAGAGGTGCTCCGAAAGCTGCTTTTTGAATCTTATTTCCATCCGGGGTCTATCCTTCTTTCAGTAAGGCAGGTGTTACAGAGCTGGGGCCTTCCAAGAAACTGAAGCATCAGGAAGACCCTCCCTTCAAATCCCAATTCTCATAACAAAGTCAGAAAGATTTCAGACCTGTGTCTCAGAGTAACAGATATGAGTTTACTGAGGGATAGGGAAAGGGAAAGGGGACTCTCTCAAGGGAGAGAGTGGGTCATCTCGGAGAGGAGAGGGACAGTGTACCTCTACTGTGCTCCAGTTTTACTGGGGAT